AATTTTAATTAGTCAATTAATTAAATTTAAATTAAATTTTATTACTTTCTATATACATTAATTATAAAAAGTTATATTTATTATATTTTTATCTTAAATTTTATAAACACAAAATAAGAAATCTCAATAAAAAATCATATTCTTATGGGACTTACCATTCTCCACACTATGAGACAAAGAGTATTTATGACTTGTCAAAAATTTCCATAAAAATCCTTATTCCCTATCATTAATAGGTGATGGGTTGAAAATGAAAATGAGGATGGGAGTTGTACATTTTAAAATAAAAAATCTTACATTTTAAAAAATTTCAATAAAAAATCATATACCTATGGACCTATCATTCTCTCCACAGCACGAGAAAAAGAGTATTTATGACTCCATCAAAAATTTCCATAAAAATCATCATTCCCTATCATTATCAGGTGATGGGGTTGGAAATCGAAATGAAGATGGAAAGTATACATTTTAAAATAAAAAATCTTACATTTAAAAAAATTTTTATTTTGTATTTTAAAGATACAAAATAAAAAATCTCAATAAAAAATCATATTCCTTTATGGGACCAACATTTGTCCACACTATGAGACAAAGAGTATTTATCGTCCAGTCAAAAATTTTCATAAAAATTGTCACTCCTTATCATTAATAGGTGATGGGGCTAAAAATGAAAATGAGGATGGGAGGTGTACATTTTAAAATAAAAAATCTTACATTTTAAAAAATCTCAATAAAAAATCATATACCTATGGACTTATCATTCTCTCCACACCATGAGACAAAGAGTATTTATGACCCCATCAAAAATTTCTATAAAAATCGTCATTCCCTATCATTAACAGGTGATGGGGCTGGAAATGAAAATGAGGATGGAAAGTGTACATTTTAAAATAAAAAATCTCAATAAAAAATCATATACCTAAATGGGACCAACATTTTTCCACACTATGAGACAGAGTATTTATCACCCGTCAAAAATTTTCATAAAAATCGTCATTCCCTATCATTAATATGTGATGGGGCTGAAAATGAAAATGAGGATGTGAGGGGTACCTACTTTCATATGGACCCGTTACCATTTCTAAGTGTGGGGCTGGAAATGGAAATGGAGATGTGAGGTGTGCCTACCCTCGTATAGACCCGTTACCATTTCAAGGTGTCATCTATTTTGAAAGCTGTCAACACTGTAAATTGGCCTCTATTGCAAGTGGTCCAACTGCTGTCGTTAAATAATATAAACAAACAATTTGACGTGCTATATTCTATAAAGCAGTGCTGCCCCATTCAGTTATTAATGACCAGTTACCAGC